GGGCGCCACTGCTCTGCGTGGGTCCCTAGGTGTGGTAGACCCGAGCAGCGCGTTCCTCTCAGCCAGGAGCTTGCTCCTAAAACGTAGCCCCAGCTCTCCAGGGATCCAATGCATTCAGCAACTTCCCTGCAATCCTTGAATTCTGGCGTTTCTGTTTATGGAGTATTCCAGATTTAAGCATTGCTCCCTAGGTCTTCTAAATACGTTTAGCATTTGTACAGCTCACAAGAAAAATTTTTGAGCATTAATTTCCAAATACTTTATAAGGTGTGAAGTCCTTGTTAGTGTCCCCAGACCTACACTATGTAGCCTGGGTCCCCAAATTTGTTTTCTTCTAGGCTTTTAGCAGATTTATATACCTCCCTCTAGCTCCTACAGATTTGCAGAACACCAACCTGGGTTCCCTAAAATTTAAACAGTAACCCATAGGTCCTGTGGTCACACTGAAAGACCCTTCTGACTCCTCAAAGTGTGGGCAGTGTTTTTTTTCTGGCATTTAGGTACTGTCCATAAAACAAGCTTTCTTTCCCCCAAATATTTCTATAATTTTAGCTATTAATTCCAGGTTATCCTAAGCTTAGTATCCCTTTTCTGACTTACCCATTTCAGCCTTATTCCCCTGATTTAACACAGTTTGGAACATTACATTGTCCACTGAATTCCACGATCTTTTGCTGCAACTTGGGTTCCCTAGATTTTATACACTGAACACCAGGTCTCCTCAACACACTGAGCAATTTTCCTGAAACTCTCAAAGTTAGAACCTTGTTTCCTATGCCCTTCCTCAAAGTTAGGCATTGCACCCAAATATCTTGAAAACAATCTATACTCTGATTTCCTCTATTCCATAAACTGAGAGAATGCTTTCCACCAGTGATGCCCAAATTTCAGTGAACAATTTTCTTCCATGGTCATGAGGATTTAGGACATTTATTTCCAAGGCTTTATAGGCTTCCTGGCCACTGATCAGGTTCTTTAAAACAGAGCCATTTGTAACCCAGGCCTCAAAAGCTCACTGAGCAATTACTCAAGATGTATTCCAATGTGCCAGGAAGGTTTTCTACATTTTCACATAATGTCCTATGTCTCTGGGTCACATATGTACAAAACTAACCCTTGATCAGAACCTATTTCTTGTTATAACAATCTTTGTTGAATGTCCTCAATCCCCATTCTGAGCATTATTTTTTCTGCAACATGATATTTTGAATATTTATTAAAAAGGCTCCCTGGGTCCTCTTAGTTTACTAACAAGAATCTGGATTTTCTAAAATGCAAACCCCCAAATCCCAGGACTATACCAGACCCTTTTCCTGATTCCCCATGTTTGCCCAAGCTAGGCTCCCTCAAATATTAAGCTATGCTCTCCAGGCTCCCAAATACACTATTATTAAGTTACAGAAAAGTATGAAGCTCGGGAGCTGGAAAGCAACCTACATACCCACTGAGTCCCCCACATTTAGGCAATATTTTCTGCAAATACTGTGCATTCCCCACAGAACACAAGTTTGTACACTGATTCTCCAGACCTACTTAAGAAGTCTCTGTTCCATAAAACTTAAGTATTGTACCCCAAGTCCTCTAAGGATCTTAAGCAACTTTCTTGGATCCCTGGTTCAAAAATTATTTTCCCAAGGCCCCCAAAATGAGGTACGCCAAAACAAATTGAAAAAGTTTTCCACCACAGAACAATTAAGCTTTTATTAAACTTTAATGAACTTTATTGAATTCTATGACCCTTGTCTTGAGTCTCTTTAAATTTAGGCAATGTTCCATGAGTCCCCAAAGGATGCTGAAAAATATCCCCAAATTCCAGAAATCCAAAGCTTTTAAAGATTTGTGCTTCATTAGTTTCTTGGCTTCTAACTTGCTTAAATTTAAATCTCAATCTCCATTTAATAACTTCCATGGACCCCCAAAATTGATAGTATGTTTTACTGGGGTCCCCCAAATGTAAACCGTGTTCAGGAAAACTGCAGGATGTTTGGCCCTTGTTCAACAAAAATAAACGAACTGAAGTCTATTTTTAAAATTAAATGGACACTGATGTCTGCATTTCCCAAATGTACTGCTTACACTTTGGGTTCCCCCAAATTTAGACAGTACTCCTGGAGTAGCTAAAGAACACTGAGGATTTTCTCTGAAGCTATAGTAATTATGGAGGTTACTTCTCCCGTGTGCTGCAAGTGTCCAGCTACTCACCTGTATTCTTAAAATGTGGACATTAATCTCTAATTATCCCCAAGAATTTGCTTAGATTCCTAAAAAGTGCCTCTTGTTTTCAACCCATGATTTTAAACATTGTGCCTCTTAGGTTCCCCCAAATTTCATGTTGAGAATTTTCTTTAGTTCAACAAAAAAACTCATCCACAAACTGATCTGTGATTTTGTGGGACCCCCAAGCTTCAGATCAAGATACTAGTTTCCCTCATTTTAGATCTATATCACTATGTCCCCCAATATCCTGGTGCAATTTCTCTTATCCCCCAAAAGTGGACTCTATTTTTCTGAAGTCTCAAATTCATTTATCACAGTTCCCACATTTGTTGAATCTCCCCTGGGTGTCCCTACTTCGGGACAATTGTTCTCCGGGCTGCAAATCAGAGATCTGTCGTGTAATTCTGAAATTTGGGCATTGTTCCCGGCCCGGCGGCTGCCCTCGGCTTCCCCAATCCCGTGCACCGCGGGTACTGGTTTCAGGCCTCTTAGTGTCTCCTACGGAGTCCCCAGAGCAACTCGGATTTTGGAAATTTTCTTTCTGTACCCCAAACACACTCCGGAACTCAGTTCGATCGCCAGGACGTGGGCCGTTCTTCTCTCATATCCAGGAAAACGACTGGGCATTGTCCCCCAGTTCCCCCCCAAATTTGGGCATTGTCCCTAAGTCTTCCAACGGACTGGGCGTTGCCCCCGGACATTGGGGACTGCCCCCCGGGGTCTCGCTCACCTTCAGCAGCGTCCACCGCCCGCCACAGAGCGCTCGCCCGCCCGCAGCCTCAGCTCTTCGTGCGCCCGCGGACGCAGCTTCCAGCTTCGCGGTGAGCTCCCAGCGGCACGGCCCCGCCGCCTCTGCGGCCCCAACCCCGTTCCAGCCTGCACCCGCTGCCTTTCTAATCAAACGGATGTGAAGGCTCTTGTTTCGGACAGCCGTCCCGGAGGCCGGCGAGGAGCGCAGGACCCGACTGCGGGTTACCCGCTCGTCGGCCGCACTCCCTTCGGTTGGGTGCTCCGAAACTGACGCCACTTTCGTTTACTCCTAGCAAAGACCACAATCATGGGGAGCGCGACTTGGCTGCCCCGAAGTTGTGCGGGGCAGGACCCAGTCGGTGGGACGCGCAGAGGCGCTCCGGGTTTAGGCGGCGCGGCGGCTCCAGCCCTCCGAGCTTAGCGTTTGGGGAAGCGCGCGCTAGCGCGGGCGCAGTGATTGATGGCGGAGCAAGAGGGTTAACCGGCACGCGAGTTTCCGCCGCCCGCGGCCCCTTCCTCTCCGCTAAGCGCGGGCGGCCAGGACCGCTGGGGGTGGTCGGGGGCGGGGGTGCAGGGGCTTGTGAGTGGTTTTGACTTGATAAAAATCACAGTGCCTTCTTACATCGTCTAAACTCTCCAGGAGATGGTTTCCCCAGACCCCCAGATTATCGTGGTGGCCCCCGGGGCTGAACCTGTGTCTACGCAAGTCCAACGCACTGAGGACGGGGGAAGCATTATCCGAACATTTTGGGTGGGCCTCAAAGGCGAGCTGCTTAGACGCATCCCGGTGAGCTCGGTCCTGCAGGTAGGAGTTAAGCTTCTTTCTCCTCGGGAGAGCACAGCCTTTGCAGGCAGGCTCCATGCCTAGTCCAGATTGGGCTGGGCCCAGCCAGCCTTCCCCGCTCCCCGTAGCTGGAAGCTGCGGAGCCTGCTCTGGGCTCCCGCGCGGCACCGGGGGGCGCTCGGGATCCGGCTGCGACTAGAGGTGCCTCGCAGCCCGCTCCTATATCGCTCGGGCAGGTGGCTGCCTCACACCCCACCCGAGCTCGGGGATCTTTCCTCCGTCGTTAGCCACCAGCGGGGACCCGGGACCCAGCGTCAGGTCACCTGCGCCCATGCGCTGGCCAGACACCCCCGCCAGGTAGCCCACGGGCGGGGCACCAGGACCATCATTACTGCTAAGGCATGGGACGATGCCTGTGCCTGCTTGCCTCACGCCCCCAGCTCTGGAGCACAGGGCGCCCTGATACCCCAGAAACCCGAGAGGAGGCCCCTAGAATTCTTTAGAATAGAGATAAGGGGGTTCGTTCACCTTCTCCATATCCCAGCCCCCCACCCCAGCTTTGAGCCCAGGCACCCTCCGCCCCCCCGCCCCCCCCCGCGGTAGCCCCGGGGCCTCACCCCCCATCCAGAGTTCCCTCCTGTGGCTCGAGTTGCGGGGGCGGTCCCGGGGCGGGGCAAAAGCCCCGCGGTAGCCCATTGGCTCGGGCTCTTGGCCAGAGGGCTCGAGCGGGCGCCGAGCCGCGGGGTGGCGCGGCTATAAGAGCCGGGCGTTGGCGCCCGCAGTTTGCCTGCTCTCCGGCGGAGCTGCGTGAGGCCAAGCCGGCCCCCGGCCCCCCCTTCCGGCCGCCCCCGCCTCCTGGCCCACGCCCGCCCGCGCTCGGCCCGCCAGCGCCTCCACCCGGGCTGGCGGCCCCGCGTCGACGTCGTCCGCTGAATCGCTGCTAACTCCCGTCCTGGGCGCCGTCGGCGGGGTCGCGCTCCGTCGGGCCTGCGGATTCCCCGCCGTCTCCTCCTTCATCTACCTCAACGCCGGTCCCCGCTTCGCCGGAGGAGGCGGTCCCCCCCGCAGGCAGTCCGGCTTGCAGGCCGCCGGCGTTGTCATCCCCCGCGCTTTCCCCAGCCCTCCCCGGCGCGCAGCCTGGCCGCTCCCCCTTCCGAGCTGCGTCCCGAGCGGCCGCGGCGCCGCCACCCCTTTCCTCCCCCCGAGGCCCGGGCTTGCGACGGCCGAGGGCTCCGTCGGCCCAAACCGAGCTGGGCGCCCGCTGCTCGGGTGACGACTCTACTCCGCCCCGGTCAACACCGTCCCAGGTCCCTGTCCCCGACGTTGCGTCCTTTCCTTGGCTTCTCCTCGCCCCGCGCCTTTCTCCGCGTCCGCGCGGCCCCGGCTTGTCCACCGCCACCTTCCCTGGGCTCCCTCCCGCCCCCCTAGTTCCTCGCCTCCAACTCCCTCCCCCCTCACTCCCGCCCTCTGCCTTCGCCTACCAAAGTGGATTAATTATACGCTTTCTGTTTCTCTCCGTGCTGTTCTCTCCCGCTGTGAGCCTGCCCGCCTCTCGCTGTCCTCTCTCCCTCTTGCCCTGTCTTTGCTCCCCCCACCCGCGTTTCCCGTTCACTCTGTCTCTCTCACTATCTCTGCCCCCCTCTATCCTCGGTACAACAGCTGACCTCATTTCCCGATACCCTTTCCCCCCCTAAAAGTACAACATCTGGCCCGCCCCAGCCCGAAGACAGCCCGTCCTCCCTAAAGAAGCAGAAGAGTCCCCCCCCAAAATAAGCCATCCCCCCGTTCTGCCCCGTCGCACATTCGGCCCCCGCGACCCGGCCAGAGCGGCGCTGGCAGAGGAGTGTCCGGCAGGAGGGCCAACGCCCGCTGTTCGGTTTGCGATAACGCAGCAGGGAGGTGGGCGGCAGCGTCGCCGGCTTCCAGGTAAGCGGCGAAGACCTGCGGGGCAGGAGGGCAGGCAGGCGCGCCGGACGCCTCGCTCTTCATCCAGCCCGCCCAGCTAGGGCCTGGGGCTCGGACGGGCTGGCTGGGCCGGGAAAGGGCTGGGGGCTGGGGTCGGGTTCCCTCCGCGTACCCCCTCGCTCGCCCTCGCTCGGTGCACTGAGGGGGGGAGGGGCGCCGGGAAGCGCCCGGGAGGTGTGTGCAGTCGGCAGGCGCGACTTCCTGGTCGGGTTTTTTTGGTGGGGGGGACGGTGTTTCTGAAAATGTGCGATTGGTGCCGTGCGGTCAGTCCCCCCAGGGTGCTGGGTAATGAGGAGGGGGCAGTCTGGGAAGCCCACCCTGGTATGTTGACTTGGTGCCAGCAAGACGGAGAAAGGAAGACGGGGTGGGCGGGGCCGGGAGGGGGGCCGAGTTGGCAAAAGAGCCACATTTGCAATATATTTCTCCCCCACCCCCTATCTCTCCCCTGTTCCCCACATTTCTAACCAGGAATCTGGGGAGAGGGGCCGATCTGAGGTTCAGAAGGGCCTGGAGAGGGGGTAGCTGCCCTGCCCTCGGCTGAATGGAAGTTTCCATACAAGGGGATGGAAAGGAGCCCCCCCCGCCCCCTATTGCTTTGCCAGAGGTGGATTGGGGGTGCAGCATGAGCCCCCCGTGATACTTTGCTAAGGGATGGTCCAGGACTAGCGGTTGGGGGTGCAGGAGAGAAGGGACTGGCTGGAAGGAGGGAGGGGGCGGTGCAAAGAGGGCGGGAGGAGTGGTCAGCGACGAGGGGGTGGGGGTAGGGTGGAGCCGGGGCTGGGAGGAGCCGGCTCAGACATAAAAGCGGAGGCACTGACCAGCTTGCAAACTGGACATTAACTTCTCCTGTGAGAGACACCTCCAGCTTCCACCTACTTCTCCTCCTCCTCCAGCCCCAGCGAGCCTCCTGTCCAGCCGAGGTAACCGGGGCTGTGGAGTAAGGACCCAGCTGCCATCCTGATTCGGCCTGCCTGGTTGCTGAGGGCAACGGCCGAGCCTCCGGCCTGCGCCCCTGCAGCCCGGCCTGCGGCCTCAGCGTCCTGCTTCTCCCCTGGGCCTCCGCCAGCTTCCACCTGGTTCCCTGGCTCCTTCACCTGCTCCTCTTCTCTCTCTTCTCCTCTTCCTCCCTCCGCAGCAGCTTCAGGGTTTCTCCTGGGTCTTCACCTGTCTGGTACCTCCACATGCCTCTTGGCCATCCCCTGCTTTCTGCTGGAACTCGGGGCTGAACCAGGAGCTAGAGTGGTGGGATTTGTGGAAGGGACCTCGGGGTGGGGGACAGCAGATGGAGCTACCCCTTGCACTGACTGCAGCTGAGTGGCCAGCATGCTGAGTTTGCTCCCAGGATTTGGAAGGGGCAGCAGAGGGGTGGTGGGGGAGTTTAGTCCTGTCGAAGAGGTAGGAGAGGTGGTTTTTGGGTCTTTTCATGAAGCTGGCCATGGCTTGTTGAGGACTTGAGTAGGATTATGCCTTTCTTATTCTCCGCTCCATCTCACATGATTTATTGCAGGGGCCTGTGGAAGGAAGACTAGGGCCGCCAGCCTGGAGGACTCCATCTTCTGTAGGGTCAGGGTAGCCTGCTTGTAATTCAGGTCTCCCATACCTAAAGGAGCTGATTAACTGTTGCCCAGGCTGACCCTTCAGCCACACAGCCTGTGAAGGGGTGTGTTCTATAATGAGCAGCCCCTCCAGACTGGGCCTGGAGAGGCCAAATACCAGGTCTGACCTGGTCTCTCCAGCTCATTCTGAGGTGCATGGAATCTCAGGGGCAATAGGGGAGATGATTCGGTAGTTATGGAAGGACTCTGAAGTCTCTGGCCCTGGGTGGTGTGATTTGGGGCCTGGAAAGGGGGCTTCTGTGAGTTTTGGTGTGCCCAGGGCAGGCTAGACTGGGAGGGCTGGGAGATTCTGGAGAGCAAGGGCCCTGGGACTGGGGGTAGCACAGTTGTACTAACCATTGGATCCTTTACCTACCTTTGCTCACACCGGCTGAAGGGGAGAGGCTGGCCCAGCAGGATTCTCCTGCTTACTTGGGGAAGTGGTGGTCCTTCTGGACCTCCCTGCCCAGCTGGGGTTGGAGAGGCCAGGAACTGGTCCTCTTGGATACACATGACTGGTCCTCTTGGACTCACGTGTTCCGCATAGGTGGAGCTGTTTGCCATCTTGGCGATTGCTTGGAAGTCCCAACAGTGGTAACTGTGCCCTTGATCTGGCCCTGCCCCCATGATATCACAGGAGGAAGACCAGTCCAGTGTCCAGTGCTGGACCCTTGGCTGTAGGTGTGACTCCGCCCCTGTAATCATGAGGAAGGAATGGTGGTCCACATGTAAAATTGCTAGCATATTTTGCAACTTAAAGCTACAGAGCACCTCGCATGGTCCCCAAACCTGTCTCCATTCTCCAGTGGCCCTGTGGCCTAGCCTTAGCAATTCAACATGTATACTCTTTTTTTAATTAAAATTAAGAAGGAAGCTGGGCTTTTAAATTTCAGGTGAATTGTAGAATAGCAGATGGCTGAGAACCTGGGGTTGTGGGGGTCGCCTGGGAACTGGGGTGCTCCCAAGCCCCAGCTCAGGCCAGTCTATCTCTGTCTCTTCCAGATACCAATGGGGATTTCAATGGGGAAGTCGATGTTGGTGCTACTCACCTTCTTGGCCTTCGCCTCGTGCTGCATTGCTGCTTACCGCCCCAGTGAGACCCTGTGCGGCGGGGAGCTGGTGGACACCCTCCAGTTTGTCTGTGGGGACCGCGGCTTCTACTTCAGTAAGTAACTTGGAGGGGCTGGGCAAGGGAGCGGAGTGTACACAGCAGGTACTCATCAGTGTTAGAGTCAGACCTCCTGGGGTGTCCTTATCCTGGGCAAGGGGATGCTCAGAGCCCACACCAGCTCTGAGACTTGGAGAAGATAGGGTCCCCAGCGAGGATTTACTGAGCACCACAGTGCTTGGCATGTGTGTACAGTGGGCAGGGGGCCCAAGGCCTCAGTGGACCCACAGGGTTTCCATGGGGGGGCAGGGATCTGAGTTCCTGCTATGGTGGACTCAAGTCCCTGTTGCCAAGACACCATGCCTCTTGGGCAGGACTGTGGGCTCTGACTTCTTTCCTGCACTGCTAGGACATTTTGACAAGGGGCGTGTGTTTATGGCTGATAAGATTTAAAATCTGATAGATTTTAGATCAATAAAAATAAAAGCAAACGTAGTTAGCAGGTACCAGGGCTGAGTGCAGATGAGCAGCCTTGGGGGAGGAGAGGAGAGCCAGACCCCTGCCATTAAAACTCCACCGTGGGGAGGCGTCTGGGGCCTTGACTGCAATGTGGGATACCCACCTGCTTGGACTGTTTCTCAGGATTCTTGATCTTCCAGCCTGGGGGTCGCTGGGGTGGACTCATTGCTGCCAGGGAGGGGAGCTAGAGGGACATGCCCAGGTGGGGTTGGAGGAGGAGGGGCTTCAGGAACAGTGACCTCTCTTGCTGCCATGTACTTCCTTTTCTTCTCCACCTGACACTTGCCACATGGCCTCCTCCTCTGCAGCCTCTACTTTCATGTCTGTGATATGGGCTCACAGGATGTACGTACATTTCTGACTTCTCTCGGAAAAGTACTGCTGCTGCTGGATGCTCTGAAGCCCTTGCTGCCCTGGCCTCTCTTGTGTTCTCCCTCTCATCTGCCTCCTTGGGGGCTGGGGGAGCACGTGGCACTGCAGGCCCTGTGCTGCTGGTCTTTGCTGAGGGAGTTGCTCCTGTGCACCAGGGTTTCCTAAGAGGAGAGCTGGGCCACGCCCACTAATGGGATCCCTATCCCTCCTCCCACCCATGACACCTGCCCTTGGGTGCCCAGAGTTGAAGCCCCCAGTGACTGTCCTCCCAGCCAAGCCTCAGACCTGAGTGCCATGGGGGAGAGGAGAAAGACGGGAGAAGAGAAGGGAGTGGTTAATGCGACTCCTCACTCCTCCCCTCCCGTCTTGTTCTCTCCTACCCAATCCTCCCTGTCTCAGCGCTTGGGGACATGGGCTCCTCCAGGCTGTGGGCTTGCTCTTGGCCAGAAGCCCAAGTCCAGGGACCACACTTGTGGGGCCAGGCTCCTTGTGGGGCTCACGGGCCCCACCTATGTTCCAGACCACCTCCAACACAGGCCCCGGGAGTTCATATCAGAGGCAGGAGGTGCCAGAGGCCAAGGGCTGCTCCTGCAGCATGCCCCTTCCATCTCTCTTTTCTGGGCTTTTCTGCCTGCCCCACAGGATGACTGGGTACCTATCCAAGGCCTAGCCTGGGCAGCCTCCCCGGGGTGGCTTCGATGGGCACTGACTGTGACTCTGTCCCTTGGGATTTCCAGGCAGACCCGCAAGCCGTGTGAGCCGTCGCAGCCGTGGCATTGTTGAAGAGTGCTGCTTCCGAAGCTGTGACCTGGCCCTTCTGGAGACCTACTGTGCCACCCCCGCCAAGTCCGAGAGGGACGTGTCGTCCTCTCCGACCGTGCTTCCGGTGAGGCCCTGCACCTTGCCCTTCTTTCTAGAAATGAGGGACAGGATGTTAGGTGTGTCTCCCAGTGGGTGGGACCTCTTAGCCAAGGGATAAGGATGTAGCCAGCTTTAGCTTGAAGCACAGTGGAAGGCAGTCCCACGTGTCCTCTTGGCCAGTGGCCTCCCTCCCTGTGAATGTTGAATGATGGGCTGGCGTGGTGTAAGTGTGGGTAAGGGTCTCCAGGTCACTGTGAGGTCTAGGCAGGTGACTTTGGTGGTGGAGCCTATGAGCCTGACCTGTTGATTGCTCCTTCTTTCCCAGGACAATTTCCCCAGATACCCCGTGGGCAAGTTTTTCCAATATGACACCTGGAGACAGTCTACTCAGCGCCTTCGAAGAGGGCTGCCTGCCCTCCTGCGTGCTCGTCGGGGTCGTATGCTCTCCAGGGAGCTTGAAGCATTGAGAGAGGCCAAGCGTCATCATCCCCTGACCGTCCTGACCTCCAAAGACCCCGCCCACGGGGATGATACCTCTTCGGAGAAGCCCAGCGACCAGAAGTGAGCCAAATTATCGTAATTCTGCAATGTGTACCATCGCACTCGTGACCTCCTCTTGACCAGGGACATTTCCATCACGTCCCACCTCTAAGATTTCTCTGTTCCATTTCCACCCCGGAGGGCTTCCCTGCCCCCAGCCCCTGTGCCCTGCCTCCTCACATCAGGCTGCTCTCTTCGCCCCGCTCCACCAGGCTGAGGGAGTCAGAGCAACATCTTCAAAGATAAAACCCCTTAGATTTAAACATCCTCCACATACACCCTCTCTCAATTACCCCCCCAAATTCTATATGCACATCAAAACAGTTGAAAAGCCCTAAATCTCTCTCACACACACACCAGCCCCCTTAAAACGAATTGGCTTTTTAGAAACACTAATTAGCCTTTTTAAAAAACCTAAAAAGTCAATTGGCTAAAAAGATACTAAAAAGGAACTGGCTTAGAAACAACTGGAAAAATAAAGGGATTTGGCACACCTTTCCCCCTTCCTTCCCGCTTTGGATCTTGAGTCAGTTGGCTTGGACTTGGGTCCCTGAACCAGTCCAAGGGAGGAAGGGGCCCCAGAAGTTTGCAGGTGGGCATGCCAGTGCTTCTGCACCATTGCCCTGCTCATCGCTTTTGAGCACTTTTGATGTTGGCTGCCCAAGACCAGCAGCCACCAGACTCATTCCTCACTCATTGTCTATCACAGGAGCCATCAGGGAGCTGAGCGGAGGGACCCATTGAGATCAGAGGAGGAGAACAACAAGAAAACCCATATCCCTGAAAATAAGGTTTAATTGGCACTAACCCTCACCCCTCAAATTCTTACATCTTAATCCCTACCCTAGAAAGCACACATTGTCCCTACAGCTACACATATACACACATGCATGCCCACATGTGCACCCACCCCACGTACCTGCACACATATATACATATACACTCACACATGCGCGCACACACACACACACATACACACACATGCAATTGGATGAAAGCATTAAAAATAAGCAAATCTCACTTCGGACCCATTTCATGCAGATCAGGCAGAGTTCCATCCCAAATTCCCTGAACTGTTTTCATGATTTGAGTTCCCATGAGCCACCGTGCTCCCCAGACCCCTGCCAGCATCGATAGCTACCCAGAGTGAGGAATGGGTTTGGCCAGATCAGAGATGGTGTTGGGAAGCAGGGCGTGCTTTGGAGTAGCCTGCCCCCGAGTGTGCTCCAGGGAGAAAGATCTGGGGATCCCCCATCCTGAGCACCAGAGGTCATCTTTGCCCTGATAGTGGGGAGTGTGGGAAGTCTGGCGGTTGGAGGGGTGGGTGGGGGGCACTGGGGGCTGGGTGGGGGGAGGCTCTGGGGTAGAAGGTGGTCCTGGGAGATTTTGGATGTTAGAATCAGGAGGAGAAACGCCTAAACTTGCAGAATTACCCACAGTAATCAGGAGCCCAAATTTAACATCAATTGATCTATTTCCCCCTTCGTTTCTTGGGGCATATTTCCTTTTTTTTTTTTGTCTTCTTTTTTTTTTTTATTCAGTTAGCTTTTTATGCGCTCAAAAACAAATTACTATACCCATCCCCGATGTAACAGGGGAGCAGTGACCCAAGTTATATGCACAAAACTACCAGTGTAATCATCAGTATCACCACCACGTCCTGCTCTCCGCCATTTATCGCCCTTTGATTTTTAATCTGTTCCTGTCGCTTGGATTGAGTTGAGAGTGGGGCCCCCGTAGGGTACCGGCCACAGTGCCCCACGGAGAAGTCAGGGGAATCAAGAAGGCCGCTGCCTGGCCTGGTCTCCGGGGATGGTGGCTGGTCCCTGGAGGCCTTGAGTGGTGGAGGAGGGGGCTGGGCGGTGTCTCCTCGGGTGTCAGGAGGGTGCTCGGAGGCCACAAAGATGGGGCCCTCAGCTGGCCTGCAGCCAGCCGAGGGGGAAGGGACTGTGGATGTGTGAGCAGAGACTCCGTCGGGCAGGAGCAAGTGGCCGCCTTCCACACACCTGGGGAGCCCTCCCCCCCCTTTGGCGATACCTTGTCCACCCCTTGGCACCCACCTTGTCCATAGGAGGCCTGGGGCTCTGCAGAACCTCCTCTGGGCAGAGCGGGATGAGGTCAGGAAGTTGGGGAAGCCAGAAAGTTTTGAACCTGCAGAGCGCAAGAGCTTGCCATTGAGTGGGGTCGCTTGGGCCCCGAGGCCTTTGGGTCTGGCAATGCCATGGTAGCCACACCATGGTGCCTAGGACTGTGCGGGGAACCGGGCGGCTGGGTGGTTTGTCTACCTCACCCCCCACTTTTGCCCCCAGTGCAGCCCCTCTGCATGAGGTCTGACTAGCAATTTAGAGGCCCGAGGCTTCTGGGTCCTAGCGACGGGGCTGGTATGGCCCTGGGGGGCGGTACATGTCAGTCCAACCCCGAACAGGGGGCCCCTTAGCAAGCAGCTGGAGAATGGGCCATTCGGAACATTGGACAGAAACCCAAAGAGCAAAATTGTCAGAATTGGAAAATACAAACAGATTGGCTTGAGATCCAAAAGACTTCTGAGGCACCCTAAATTATCTGCCCATTCTTCTGGATACCCACCCACTCAGTATTTTTTGCCTCTGTGGGCTGGGTACTCCTGGGGCGCTTGTCCCTGCCCTCTGTGTCCCCAATTTTGCAGCTCTCTCCGAGGTCACCACTCTCTTGGCCCGGGCACCTATCTGGCCTCCTGTGTCTTGGTGTGGCCCTCCATCTTGTCTCTTCCCTGTGTCCCTACTCCCACACTGTCTTCAGTGGGACCCGCCTCTTGGGTCCCTCCTTTTACATCATGTGAAGACCCCCACACGTCGGACACCCATTGTCACCTGTGCCGCTGTGTCAATCCATCTTGCCGCGGCTGTGTCCACCTCAACTTAACTCCTTTAACATGCTCGTATTTCTGGCACAACCCAGTGCTTGGGCTTTGTCTTTAACTTGTTAATGCTTGCAAACCAAATAAATCACTAAAATCACTATATTCTGAGTTCTTTGTTCTTTCACTTGGGTATGGGACTGAGGCAGGGAAGGGTGCTGGGCACCTGGGAGAGCAGGGCAGTAGGCGGGTGGAGTAGGCTTCAGAGGTGTGGGCCCTCAGGCACCTTGCACGTGCACAGCAACCTGGGACCACAGAAGAGCTTCCTTGTGAAGCTGGGGGATCTGGGACAATTTCAGGCACCAAGTCATCACAGATTGAGGGTCGCAGGGTAGGAGGAACATGTGGGGGTTGGTGTCCAAGCAAAGAACCCCGTGCCCTTGATGCCGGTCCCCAACCCCCAGCCCCAGAGCGAATGTCTCTCTGAACCTTGGGCTGGGGGTGGACTGCTTCTGGAAGGCTCTGGACACTATAGCAGTTGCTGGACATGAGATTCAGTGCTAGTTACCTGGGATGGCTCCCTGCCACCCATCTCCACTCGCCTCCCAAGACGATGGATTCCCCGTACCCCTTCCCCCACCAGGTGCTGCCAGCAGAGATGGGAAGGGCTGGCCCTGTGCCCATTTGCTCAGCAGTGCTAGTCTCTGAACTTTGGGGTCTCTGAGCACAACAGGAGGGTGAGGGGGCACACAGGTGCCTGCGGCTTGGCCTCTTCCCTCTGTCCCCTGACTGTAGCTCATTTCAGCCCTCAACACCCTCACCAGCAGATCTGCTCTGCCCACCCCATTGTGGGAGGGGTTCTGTCAGGCCCTTTGCGGGTGGGGAGGCCTCTCACCCTGGCATGTGGGCATTCTGCCCTTTCCTGAATCTTCAGTTCTTTGCATTTGCTGTTTCCTAAGTGGCATCCAGGGCAGCCTTGCTTCCCATACACCCAAGAACTACTCTGAGCAATTTGGGGATCTGTGACCAGAGGAGGCTGTCTGGGGGAGAAGGGTTTGGGTTTGAAGATGAGGAAGGTTGGGGGTCAGAAAATAGCAAATACGATGTGGAAGGCACAACTAGGAGCAGCTCCTTGCACGAGGGCAGGGCAAGAGTGAGGTCTGGGCAATACATCGGTGCATGGTGGGCCCAGAGGGTCGAGGGCCCAAGTGATATTGGCTGACTCTCCAGGGAGCCCCCTGAGACCCTCTGGCCCTAGTGTGGGGGAGGGCCCTCTCTGCCTACCCCAGAGGCTGCTGCAGTTTCTTTGCTACCAGATGCTCCTGAAGGCCCCCTGAAGATCTTCCCCAGCCCCTCTCAGCTGTGCAGCTTCCCAACACCCAGGGTCTCCGGGCTCCAGCCTCTGACCCCTTTCCCCAGACTACTTCTTCCTGACCTGCCAGCCCAAGGTCGTCTCAGTACTGGCCTTGTCTGTACCCCACACCCCTCCATCTGTCCCTGCCCCAATCCTGGGCTTCCCTGGCCTTCCTCATCCTCATTATAGTCTGGCTCCATAACCCCTCCCCCGCTGGCACACCTCCCCTAAGACCCTGTGACCTCCCGTGATCTCCCTGAAGTCCTGGACATAACTGACCCCTTTGCACAGATCTCCTGGATTAGCCCCATCTTGCAGCAGCCCTCTCAGGTTTGCCTTTCTCATACCTGCCCAGCATCACGTAAGAGAGCGTTCCAGGGGCCTCCAGGCCTTCTGTCTCCCTTCCCCCCACTCTGGAAATTCTGTTTATCCCGGAAGTTTCACCTACCCATCCACCCACCCATTCATCCACCACCCACCTATGCACCCATCCTTATATACATCTTGCCATTCATCGATCCTCCACCCTCTGTCTATCATCCACCTCTCCCCAGACATGGATGGGTATTGCTTATGTACAGGATGCCCCAGGCTGGGAGAGGGCAAGTACTGGGAGGTGTTTGGGTGCTCTTTTAAGTTGGAAAGAGCTGAAGCAAAGATGGGCAGGGAGTGAGGGGTATAGGGCAAGAGCACTCCTTGAGAGGCCTGCAACATGAGTGGGACTGGGGTGTTCAGCAACCCTCCAAGGGTGGAGGGGGACTACAGCAGGAGGAGGGGACTGTGTGGAGGATGAGGTCAGAGTCCCAGGTTGGTAAGGTGGTATGGGCCACATAGGCCTTTGCTATTCACAAACATTTACAGATCCCTCCTGCGGTGAGTTGAATGCTGGCCCTCAGAAAGAAATGTCCATATGTTGACCCCTGGGGCCTGCTTGTGTGACCTTATTTAGAAAAAGGGTCTTCACAGATGCTTTAGGACAAGGATCTTGTGATGAGGCCATCTTGGGTTTAGGGTGGGTATAACAAATGACAGATGTCTCCACTCTGAATGGGTTGGCAAGACTATGTCTACCAGTCCCTCCGGCCATACTCCACATGGGCCAGAGCGATGGGCCAGAACGATGGGCCTGGGGCCTACTGCTTAGAGCCTTCTGTGGCTTCCATGGGCCATGAGGTAAAGTCCAGACCCTGGCCAGACTTTCCCTCATTCCACAGTGGCATCATGTCCTGCCTTCCTCCTTCCTGACCCCTTCCTTCTCCCCTCCCAGGAGTTACTGGCTGCCCTGTCTCCCCCAGACCTTAGGGTACCCATCCCCACCCTGGGAACTCCTGCACATCCTCAGCTCTCTGTTCAGTCCTGCCCTCCTCTCCAGGTGTCTGGGTTCCCCCTGTGTAAACAGCTTTCTGCTTTTAGCCCTTGCCCCTGTCCCTGAGAGATGCTGGTAACTATGGGCACAAGACGCCTGCCCTCAGTACCTCCCAAGATTGTCAAGACTAGGACAACTCTCTGACCAGCCATTCAATGCTCCCTCCCTCAATAGTAAATCCCAGCCTTCCATAGCCTCCTACTGGAATGCTCACCTGGCTCTGGTCACCAGGTCTCATCCTTAAGTGACCTGTGTCCACCTGTTGGCCAGGTCCCCACCTCTCCTGGCTGCCCGGGCCTGGTACCCAGTGGCTGCTTCTGCACAGGTGTGGCCAGGCCAGGGACAGCTAGGCTTGGGGTGGAGTCTCCAGGCTGACAGTACTCCAAGCCTGGCCTCTACCTGCTCTGCAGGGCTCCGGCCCTGCCCAGCCCCCTCCTGGCCCAGCGGCCACGGCCTTAGGCCTCATTAGCGCAGCCTCTAGCCTCTCCCTCTCCCAGCCCAGCCAGCCCAGGCCTCCGCCGGCCAGAAACCAAAGAGAAAATGCCTGTTTATGCCAGTTATGCCGAAAGCAAAACAGTTTGTGGTTTGTGACCCAAATTTTTTGCCTTTTTTTTTCAGAACATAACAAAGCCCAAGACAACTCCCTCCCCACCCCCAGCCCTCCCCCTAGGCAGACAGAAATGATGTGTTTACACTGGCTGTAGCACATTCCGACTGGTCAGCCCTCTCCCAGCACAGTGCCCTCACACTGGGCGATGGGCCTCTGGGGAAGGGGCCACTAGGCTGGCTGGGTTGGGCAAAGGATAGGAGTAGGGAGAGCTTGCTTCCTCTGTGGGGTACTGGTGACTTACCAAGTGCATCCTGGGGGCTGGGAGCATTAGGGAGCATTCCATCTGGGAGCTCCACTGGGACTCTATCCTGCCCTAGATAGGGAGGGATAGCAAGGGACCCTTGTCCTCAATTGTCCCTTCCAAGGAGCCCCTCCCAGGTGTGTCCTCAGTCCCAAGCATCACCCCACAGGGTGATGGGCCACCCACTTGCTGCCTCCCCCTGTACTGTACCTAATCTTCCCCTCTGCTTTACTCAAGCCCCAAGGTACACTGGCTCAGCTGGCCATGGAGCACATAGAATAGGCATGTCCTCTGTCATGGGGACCCAGCAGCCCCAAACGGACCTTGTCAGTGGGCTGGCAAGCATAGGGCAGATGGTTCTGGACTGCACTGGGAAAAGCCCATGGCACCCCAGGAGATGGCCAGGTAGGTGAAGGCTGAGGTACCTGCTAGAATTCAGTGGAGGGCATCCAGGGCCCTGAGCTGAGGGAGTGGGCTGCCACCTTCAGACCATACCCATGCTCTGGCCTTCCAGGGAGATAGGAAAAGTGTGTATTTTTGCCTTGCCTGGGCACCTCAGAGTGAATGGGTCTTGCATCCAACCCCACTGGGCCCCTTCCTGCTCCTCCTCTACAGGTCTGGTCTTTCCTATTTTCTTCATCTGTGCACGTGTCTGTGCCACCATGGGTGCTACCTGGGAGCCAGGGCCTCAGAGGGAGAGATTGTTCAGCCAGATAGCTCCTGGGGAGGCATAGCGGGGGCAGAAACACTAGCTCACCAGCAGGATGGGACCAGGATTAGAGGGAGGACACCCAGAATCCTAGAATCCTCCCTCCTACATCTGGAGTATGTGCAGGAATTAGAGGGACATGCAGGGCTAGAAGGATGCTTTGGCAGAGGGAACCACATAACAGTTTTGGGACTACCAGGAGTGCAAAGGGCTCAACTGCTGAGCCAAGAAGCTGAATTTGACCCTATGAGGGCTCTGGGCAGTCAAGAAGGGCTGGAGGTGGGGCTGGGGGCAAGCCACTCAGAGACAAACTCTAGAGAAGCAGTCTAAGTGTGGGGTACAGGGGGCCCTGAGAAAATTGGGAGTGTTGGTGGTGGGATACAGGGCTGGAAGCAAGGGAGGTGCTCCAGGTCGGAGGAGTGCATGTGGCCTGACGTCACTGCATGCATCATGGGGGGCGGTGTCCTTCCAATCCCCCCTCCCCCAACGGAGGGAGGGATGGAGAGGCAGGAGTTTGGCCCCCTCAGGCCCTGGGGCCCTGGAGGCTATCCGGTTGTGCCCACTGCCAGGCTGGCAGGCTCCCTGTGCCTGGCTGGAAGCATCGTTTTGGGAAGATCTGGCCTGCACCTCTGCTTCCCTCTTCCGGGCCTTGTCATCCCTGGCCTCCCCTCGATCAGGAACAGATGTGCCTCTGAGCAGGAATTCTAGCTATTTGGTTAGCCAGCCACTCGCAGGGAGTTTCTGATAAGGCAAATTGGTTCTCTGCAGAGTGGAGGGGGAGTGGAGGCGGAGGAGAGAAGATACCATGCCCAGCCCCCACCTTCCTCATGCCTAGGACTCCCCCAACCACGACCCCAGCCCAGCTCCAGAGGCTTCTCCTGATAT